TACCGGAACGATGCCCATCCATTGCTGGTAGCTCAGTTGGCATGCAAATGTTGCATTAATTTTCTGGTTTTTCTTTTATGTATTGCGGAACAGTAGCTGAGGTGTTTTTACACCTCTAGCTAACGTGTGTAATGAATGAATGAATGACCGGTGCTTGCGGGAATACTGCTCATGTCTGGTGCGAACACCGAGTGAGCAATGCAGAGGTCCGACCAGGTGGTTTTTGGCAAAAAAACTTATGGGTCCTCATTTGAGTGTTTACTGTATATTAATCGCTTACGTTGGTGTGGTCATGTCCTCCGTATGCCCCTTGACCGGGTTCCTCGGTGTGCGTTATACGCCGTGGCTGCACTAGTTTGCGCGAAACCGACAGGTGGCCAGTCCATGATGTGGCGGCATAGTGGCATGAAGAAACTGACTGAGAGACTTGGACAGGCGGGTGCGTGCCGTCTTCGTGGATGGGGGCCTCGGAATGGTCCACACCAATGGTTGGAGACCGTATCAAACATGGCGCAGTCACGAAGTCAGTGGTGTTCTTGCATACGGTTGGTGTGGTTAATTTAATGCACCTCCTCTTGCTTCCAGTTTCCTTACAATTGTATTCGCCTTTAACCCCACTCTTTTGCTGTTGTTATTTATAGTTATTTTTGCGATGTGAGTCGTGGCAACTGGATCCACTGCAGTTCGGCGCTCGGATCATAGTTGTTCAACTGAACTGAAGTGAACAGAGGTGTAGAACCTACGTACGCCTACGGTCGAATCAGCAGAAATAGTCTCGCTAAAAGTTAGTCTCTTCCATCTGGTTCGCGGTGCAGTCATGAGATTGGCCTTCGTTTCGCGTTATCTCTTCAGTAGGGCTACTCTGTTAGATGGTTCATACAGCAGCTAAGCTAAGTGGGATCGTAGTCGGTTCAAACAACAGTACGAAACGGTCATTTTGTTCGTTGGAATAGGAAGCGTACGAAGGCCACGCGGTGCACTTCACAGCGTGGGATAACTCGGAATTCATTGCAGTCAAACTTTAAACGTATAAAAAAAGCTACCAACTAGTGCTGTAGAACAAAAGACTGTACCGTAAGATGGGTCTGGATCCGCTTTAAAGTCTGTACAACGCAGGAATAAGAATTATGAAGCTATACCAATGCGTCCGGAAAGAGCGACACTTGAACGCTCGCTGACCATAGCAGAGAGATGATACTACTGTTGCGGATTTCGGCAGCAAGCACCAACAGTGTCTGAACAGCATAGCATTATATTTCACTGAAATGGCTCTGAAAATACAAATAAGCGTGTGGCATGATCGAATGTCCTTCTGCTTCTCAAAAGCGTGCGCGTCCGTAATTCACGTTCGTCGACTGGCCTGGTCAATGAGATTCAGGTGCATTTGATTGAAATTTGTAGTAGAGTTACAGCCATGAAATAATCTTGGACGGTTCCCAGAAGCGACCTTCGTTGACAACCACAGGCAAGCGCAAGAAAAGCAACGTTACTACAAGTGTATCACTAAGACGGTGGAACAAAGAGGTCACCAGAACAGGGACACTTGCATCGGATAAACGAGTACAATTCGGAATTTGGCATGTGATTAAGAAAAGAAAAATACGGTGACCGGAAAAACGGAAGGGGAAAAGAGTATGAAAATCCGAAAGGGAGCAGAGAGATAAGAGATAAACGGATGTCCCATGGAGTTAGCATAAACAGAACACCTTACAAAACGAACACAAGTAGATAATACGAAAGAGAAGTGAATGAGATTAGTGAATCCTACCGAACAAATGGCCATGGAGAAACCGAATACAAACGACCGAAATGTGACCAAAAAGAGCCAGTTGACAATCTAGCCTTGGAAAGAAGCTTGCTCAACCTCCAATAGGCCTTAGAATAAGATCGCAGATGCGCACAGAGGTTCTGATTAGGCGATCATTATCAACAAAACAATATTTCCATCGCCCTTTGAACACCTGAAGGACAGATACTTCGGTTCATTGGGAAGTGACGAGTGAGTGAGCGAATCTGCAACACCAGGACAGATACTGTGAACTTATTGACAATACGTCGCGAACCAAGCAGAAGTCATGTATTAAAAATTGCGCACCCGATCGTCAGTCCTCGGTAACTCAGTCGGTGGGGCAGCGGACCGGTAATCCAGGGTTCGATTCCCGGTCGAGGCGGATTATTGTGCAAAGTTCAATCGTGGCTTCTACTTTCCACAAGAACGATATTTCACTGGTTATTGATCCAAGAGATGGTTACAAGATTGAGAATAACGTAGAAAGATTGGAGGGTCCATTTTGGAATACACGTTGTGTGATTGGATTGTGACGCGCAATCTCAAAGTGGACCGCGGCTCACATTGAAGTGAACCTTAGTCACTGCGATCACTGGGACCGTAGTCAAATCAGTGCAGTGTTTTCGGGCGGGCAGCAACCAACGTAGAAAGATCTACTGTCCTGGAAAGAAAACAAAGTTCATGCCAGCGCCGGTTAACTCGGTCGCCTTGAAGCTTTGCGGTGTTGGTTTCTGTGAACAGATTCATCCTTGCTTGAGGGTACTGACCTCGAAGTGCCGAAAAAAAGTAGTGAGGCGGTGACCAAGCAGCACATATATCTACGCTATCCTAGAAACAAAGGCTTACTGAACCCCTAGAACAGAGGAGCAGGTGCAAAATCCGTGCCCGACCAAGGTAGCTTTGGCAATGTCCTAGCAGAATACAGAAGATCGCGCTTCAGCATAACTGCGCACTAGGAAAGAGTGTGACGGCGATAAACGCAAGTGCAAAGCAAGTGCTATGGTGACTACATTCCTGGAGGGAGTTCCTCGACAGCAGCCCCCTAGGCTGATCGTCATGCCAAGAGGGACCGAAGTCGAGACGGAATGAAATCATGAGATAGAGTGGTACCTGTGTGATCTTGAGGGGACAAAGTTCAGGGGGTTATGTAGCTGTGAACTTCATTAAGATACCAAGCCGCATTTTCCCAATCTAATGTGTATCGCCGATGACAACAAACTTGGCGCGTTGCCTCGTTGAAGGAAAACGGAGTTGAAAACAGAAAAATATGCGTAATCGGGGTCAGCTCCGCACTGCTGGTCTGTATATTGTTACGATAGCCATAGGCTCAGTTGGATAGTAGAAATAGGGCACTATACTGGGGCTCCCCGATAGGACGAAAGCACCGTTTTGTTTGAACCCGCAATGGCTAATCAGGGACGGACAACACTGCAGCTGCAAAGGACATTTAAAGAGCTCCCAGCCATAAAAAAAACCCAACTACATCAGTAGATTGACAGTGCGTGAACAACTAAAGGCAGCGTGTGCGGGTTCCGAAGTCCAGTAACGCATGGTGATTATCTGCAGATGTGGGTTTCGCAAACTCCATTCACAAATTCAGCAATTCAGTGGGATTTCTCCAAGTAGTCATCCAAAGTGCGACACTCGAGTTGGATTTCGATCAAAACTCTTAATATGATGTGATCCGCGATTGTCGTTTCGTGGTAGGATGTCTCGGATTTCCAACACAAAGAGTCGCAGGACTATGTATCCCGATTTGCGGACCAAAATCACTCTCATCGATGAATACGGTAGGTAGCTCTGACAGTATCCATCGGCTCTGAGTTGTAGCTTGGCTGGTCATTCTGCGATGTATCCAATATCATCATCATCACCACCATACACATTAAATAGAGGTGGGAAACACCTCCGCTACTGTGCCGCAGTACACAGAAAAAAGGAGAGAAAAAATGCAACTGGTGCAAGCCGGCTGAGCTACCGGTAACGGATGGGCATCATTCCGGTAAGCTACCAGTCGGCTACTGTGCATCAAAAAATTACTATGCAAACTTATATAAGGCTAAATAGTGAGATCGTGGTTGGAGGGGGAGGCTAAGTGGGATGGGGTGGGACAAAGAAACTCACAGCACGAACGCTACTGAGGTCGGCTCCTAGTCATATCAGCAAGTGTGTCCAGCCAAACGTGTTCATCGTTTTTTGGACCACAACAAAGGAGCCGAGACGCTCCAACCGAGGCCAGCTCAGAAGTGAGGGCCTTCATTCCTCTGGACCAAGTCATCGCTTGGCCACCCCTCATCTTCTTCCATCCACACCCCCGGCGCGCAAACAACGCACGTCGCGGGAATCGGTGGGCTGGCATGCGTAACACGTGGCCGAGCCATCGGAGCCTAGTGCATGAAATGAGGGTACTGAGCGGTTCATTTCCTTTACCTGTGCCGTAAACAAGGCGTCGAACACGCTCGTTACTCACACGGTGTTCCCACCAGATGTGAGCTAAATTACGAAGGCACCGATGGTCGAACGTAACTAGCCTCTTCAGGTCCGCTGCTTTAATCGGCCAGGTTTCACAACCGTACATAGGGTCGGAATGTATCAAATATGTTTGGATCTATCCCGCAATTCAGCAATTCAACAACGCACGTGCATATAAGAAACGTCAGCATCTGTAACACTTGTCTGGTTGTCCAATCGGCATGCCAGTAAAAGGTAGAGCAAAATCCATAGATTCGCACGCGATTAGGTATCCCCTTCAAACGCAGGTGCAGGCATGCGAGCATGTTCTGTTCAACATAAAGTGCCGATTGGATAGCCGGACAAACGGTACAGATGCTGGTGTTTCCTATATGTGCGCAAGTGCGTTGTTGAAGGGTACTAGTCATGGCCGAATTGTGGGGATAGATCCAAACACATATCGGACACATGGTAGTTTATTGGCAAGCACCACAGAAACAAGGAAAATCACAATAAGGTCAAGTCTAGTATGATGAGAGAAACCATCGAATGAACTAGATAGTAATAAAGAGGAGAGAATCAGATTCATCGAAGGTCGTGAAGAGTTCTAGAACCATCTACACAGGGAGCAGTACAATAGAAATAAGAACAACCAACCCACCTCCAAATCAGCGTTGTAAATCAGGAAACAAAAATAAAGAAAAGATAGAAGGGGCTGAGAACTGCCGCTCCCCCAGGATTAGATAGCCATTGTACTTACTCGACTGGAACCACTTCCCCTAGGGACTTCCAATAGCTTTTTCGTTTGATCAGTAGTAAGAAGAACGACAACTTCGGGCTCCGAGACGGGCTCCAATAAAATGGTGGGATCTGTTGTGGAAGTGAATCGAAGAACCAGGAAGTGTCAATGAATGAACACTGGATGAAAAGAAAGGAAAAAAGCAAATATAATATAGGTGCAATGAGTTTTGGGCAGCTGGAAGCGGGGTTTTGTTGTTTTAATGCAGTTACTTCGCGAAGTGAGTTGCATCGTGAGGATCCATCGCCATTGAACAAATGGTGGGGAAGGAGGTCAATGAGGTTTTCGGTGTATAAAACTCAGATACTCTGCCACAGATGCGGTATAGCTGAAGGATCCAGCATTCTTACTGGTGCCCCCATCCAAACCATGTACTCCGTTCGGGACTTGGAAATTCGATAGTCCACCAGCTTCAGCTGCACCGAACACATCCCGCATCAAGTAGTGAAAGCGAAACAAGCAACAGGTTGAGCCACTAGGTTGTTTTCAGTATCTCAACCATGCTTGCATCATTCGAACTTGCAGTGCGACCCAATCTAGAATACTGCATCATCATACATGCCCTCCAACGTAAGACAGATAGAACCAATTTGGTATTGGGGCGCATATTAACGCTTACCTATGAGCAACGATGTCCTGACTTACACGCTGACCTTGACGAGTGAATAACAACCTCAGTCCTCCCTACAGTATCCTACAATTGCAAGCCTTCTCCACTCAACTACCTGGGAAGTTGTACCAGCGCCTGTGGGATTGAAGATGAAATCACGAATCGTATAGCAAAAGCTCGGGGCGCTTTTGCTAACCTTCGCCACTTATGGCGCCGGCGCGACATCACTCTTGCCCTGAAGGGTAGAGTGTACAATGCAGCAGTACGTTCGACCCTACTGTACGCCCGTGAAACCTGGTCCCTTAAAGCAACGGACCTGAAGAGGCTAGTTACGTTCCACGACCGATGCCTTCGTAATTTAGCTCACATTTGGTGGGAACACCGTGTGAGCAACGAGCTTGTTCAACGCCTTGTTTACGGCACAGGAAAAGGAAACGAACCGCTCAGCACCGTCATTTCATTTATCAGGCTCCGATGGCTCGGCCACGTGTTACGCATGCCAGCCCACCGGCACCCGCGACGTGCGTTGTTTGCGCGCCGGGGGTGTGGATGGAAGAAGAGGAGGGGTGGCCAAGCGATGACTTGGTCGAGGGGAATGAAGGCCCTTACTTCTGAGCTGGCCTCGGTTGGAGCGTCTCGGCTCCCTGGCTGGGGTCCGGAAGACGATGAACACGTTTGGTTGGACACACTTGCTGATATGACTAGGAGCCGACCTCAGTAGCGTTCGTGCTGTGAGTTTCTTTGTCCCATGCCATCCCTCTTAGCCTCCCCTCTAATCACGATCTCATTACTTAGCCTCATATAATTTTGCATAGGAATTTTTTTGATGCATAGTAGCCGGCTAGTAGCTTACCGGAATGATACCCATCCGTTACCGGTAGCTCAGCCGGCTTTCACCAGTTGCATTTTTTCTCCTTTTTTTCTGTACTGCGGCACAGTAGCTGAGGTGTTCCCCACCTCTGGCTAACGTGTATGATGATGACGATGATGATGAGCCTTCTCCACTGCTATGGCTGTTGTTTTACAAGATCGCTCAGTCTATCCGACTCGTGATGAGAAGTGTCTATTAAACAGGAAAATATTCACGCTGACATGTGAAAAAAAGCCGTAGTTGCAAGTAAGGACAAGCGAGACCTTGGTAACATTTAGATCTCATCGAAATATTTTCTTTCCATGTTAAATGTGGTCAGCATTCATGGAATCCGGCCCGAAAAGCAGATGACAAGATTGGGTGGATAACCGAACAACCACAATGTGATGCCAGCTGGGTGGTCCGGGGTTAATCTCGTTCCAGCGAATAGTTCGGCGGCAGTGTTCCAGGACGTGGTGGGTTTTCGCCTGGCGAACGTTCTCCCTATAAAAAACCACGAAGGGCCGTTTAACAACACTGCGAGGTGGCGGATGTGACTCAAAAACTGACTAAAGTCACAGCCTCTTCCCCTTCCGGAGGATCGTCCCCACTTCACAAACGTCATCCAGTTCGAAGAGAAGCTTTGATTCTTCCATACGATGGCAAACACAGCAAAAAAACTCACGAACTCAGTCACTCTTCACGAGTACACTCCCAATGCCCACTAACACATACACATATACAGACACACAAATCCAGTGTGTTACTGGTTAAGTTGCTATATTTTTATACAATTATCAACCGTACCTGTTTGTATTATCATGATCATGCCTTAGTAGGCGTGCAACGCACTGCCGAGAATAAGACATTTATTTAATCATCGTTTATTTAATATATATTCTACAAATTACTGCATTGCTGGTCCATATGGAATCCAAAGTACATAAATGAAATGCTGATGGAAATTGCTGTACAAATAACCTCTCTACGAAGGCCAACATATCCCGTCCGTCGGGAAAGACAGATACATTGAGTTGTATTATTTATTTATTTAATAGACAAAAAGGAGACAGGAATACAAGACACCAGAGAAGGCCAGTCTAATGGACAGACAACGAACGTTGGCAGGCGCCCTTAAGAGGACAGAACCACCATACATGAACACGCCACATACTCTTCAAATGCGACTAAACACAAGGTGAATGATGGAGACAAAACACACAACCTCCATGTCATCATCAACAGCAGTACATCAGCCATTTGAACTGATGCTTCGCTGCCATACAACCATGAACACCTATGAAATGAAGAATAATAAGAGTGAGAGAAGGGGGACTTACCTGAAAACTTTAATGCCCTAAGCAAACATTAAGGGTCAAGGCGCCTACCCAGTGTGTAGACAACACACCGTCACAAACAGCTGGCTATCGTGCAAAGATAAGGCGGCATCAGCGAGACAGCTTCCTTGCGGCTTTCACTACCACGTGTCATAATCAGTCATTACCCCGCAGATAACTCAGCACCAAACACACTTTAAACAGGCAATCCGATTGGGAGACGGCAGCAGACGCGCCACTGGTGACTACTGCGAGCCATGTCCTGTAAAGTCTGGAGCCAAGCACAAGGCGAGTCACGTGGACTCCAGCGCGGAAGGCGAGACGGACCAACGCCACCCAGTGTGGTCGTCAGTGACTTCATTTCCCGTTGCCAAGTCAACTTCTGTCCACCGCGAGCCTTGCGCTACCATGTGGTTTCTTAAGTAGCAAAAAGCCGCAGATATGAAGGATTGCCACAGTGGAGTATATCATCGAAGGGGATATAAACGAACGTGAAGGAAAACTTGATGAATGCCATCACCTTCAGCTTAGCTTAAGCCGTTGTTATTCTGCAAGGGTTGAGTTGGTACAGTAATAGAAAACTGGGATACAAGCCCCGGAGTGCAGTAGTTCCTGTTGAGACGACTCGCACATCTGGGATAACAGTAATGGCGAGAGAGAGTGGGCAAAATGCAACAGGTTAGGAAAAAAGGAAGAAAATTACTCGTGAGTAGAGGGGTTGGTGAGATCTAGTTAATCCATCACAATTTGATTAAAGACCAGATAAACCCTCATACTCATGAGTAGTCAAAAATGAACCACAAGTCTTTAAAATGCAATCGGATTCAACTGTTATGATCTCACACCTGAGGGTCAAGCATTGTCCTCTGCACAGGCAGTAACCTGCTTGGCAGTGGAGAATGGATAGGGCCATTTCGTAGTTGGATTTCAATCAATGATGGTCAGCCATAATCTACCACAGCTCAGTGGCTGCAAACTACTAGCGGTGACAGGTTTAGTTCCCTAAAGGAGACCGACGGAACGCGCGCAACAGACGTCCCAAGAGGGCTAAACGGCAGTCTAGGGCTTAACTTGGTTGGTAGTTGGCATATGTAGCTTGTAATCAGATTGTGACGAACTAGTTAACTGAAAACATTAAGTGAGATGGAATATAAACAAGTAGACGCAAGTAACCGAATGGAATGGTGAGACCGACTTCGAGACTGTGCTGTCAGATAAGGTTTCCAACCGCTGATCAGGTTCCTCTCGAGGGTCCTACTTGCAGCCAGCACGCACCAAGCAGACGAAAGATCTCAGTCAATTTCTTCATGGCGTTATGCCATGGTATGGACTAGCCAGGCTGCAGATTCTTGCACCGACAGCACACAATGCACGGGCGTTCGCCCAGGGGATTTGGCGTACCCAACGAAATTGATGCCAAGTTAACAGACTAAAATGAGGTATCAGAGGATGTCTTGTCAAATATCAACCGGCTGAAAACAGTAGTGACTAATCAGCATCCGTAGGAGATGCGAGAAATACTCTGGAAGTACCGGTGATCAACGACGGGCAATTTCTCAGTGTCCAGTGCGAAGTGGCTGCAAAGATTGGGGGACGCCTCTGATAAGAATTTGAGCCTGATACGATTGTCAATGGCACGGGTTGAGCACGCCTACAGTAACGGCTTGGAACGCTGGCAGATCGAACGGATTTACGTTGACGTGATGGCGTCAACTTAGCCCGGGGTACGCGCTACTAAGACGGAAAATCGCGCTAGCGTGAGAACGTTCCTAGCTGCATGTATTCGAGTAGACGCTAAGCCCTCGCAACGGACGAGGCTACGCATACGAGAGCGGGTGACGATAGACGTGCGCTAGTGGCTTAGACGCGAACGCCGCCCGGCTATTGACGTACACAAAAATCACGTGATCGAACCGACACCCAACTAACGGCGAAGAGAAAGCAAGACAAGTGGTCCTCTGAAGGCTCTTTCACGATTAACAAAGGGCGAATCACAGCCGGTACTATGGGTCATTAAGTTAGTGAAAATAGCTACCGCAACGGGGTGGTAGTTTGTAAAAGAACATTGTCAACATGTGCGCAGTTGTGCCGCGTCTCGGAGTGGCTGAAATCTGCTACGTTGGGGGGAGGAAGTGAACTCCGCTTTCCACAGCCATTACGCCGGAGTTTGTGGCGCGTTTTTGCGGGGATATTTGACGGGCCCGCAACAGTGGCCATATATCTACTCCATGGAGTAACCGGTCTTATCGCTGCGATATGCATAAGTATAGATGA